ACATTATACTTTAATAATAACAGTTATAACACAATTATTTTGTAAAGCTATCTAAATGATAATTTTAAGAATTATCATTTTATTATAATACTAATAAAATATTATATTTAAGTTAAACAAATAATTAATGATTTACACAAATATTTTTACAAAAATAAGAAAAAAATACTAAATTTGTATGTAATAAATTGAAGTTATATATTAATTATTATAATAGACTTAAATATACATAAATATTTGTTTTAGCATTTATTGAATTAAACACTATTTAATATCAATAGTAAGAATTTTATCATAAAATAATAAGTATAGTATTTTCATAAAAATATACTATTTTAGACATAGGTTTTAAAGTTATTTTAGATTATATGATTAAATTATACAATTTTTCATTAGATTATTTATAAATAAATATCTAGTGTATTAAAAAATAAGATAAAGTAATTAAATTTAAAAAGATTTAATATTAAAATTAATTTAACTTTACTATTAAACATTAAAATATTTAATTATATTACAATAATATTTTGTTTACACAATTAGTCTAAAATAAATAGAAATAAATAAAAATTATGTTTAAAAATATTATGTAACATATGATTAACATATTTATTTGATAAAAGATTTTAATTTATTTATAACCAGATTCTGAACATTAAGTTTATTTGCGATATAATATTGAATATAAATGTGTATTAACCACAAAACAATTATATATATTAATACCATATATAAGACAATTATATTATTACACAAATTTAAGAACACAACGGCTGATACAGTAGTTATAATATTCATTATAATATTGAAATATTTAATAACATTAACATATTTAGTTAAACTATAATTATCATGGTGAAATTTGTCAATACATTCACTGATATGATAGTAATAGTTTGGTGTAATATTTTTATCGATGGCCACCAAATGTTTCATCATTGTTGTCAATACAGCCGAATATTTATCAATAATATCTAATCGCATAATTTGTATGTAGAATAACCAAATAACTGTATAATAAATACTAAATAGAGCATGGTGACTAAATAATAGTGGCACGTATTTTATTTTAAATAAATTATCAATATCATCGTTTAAATAGACAACAAAATAAAATAGCATATATAACAAAAATATCATAATTATGAAAAAATATGATTTTCTATTTGATGCAATCAATCGATATTTATTAAAAAATTCGGAAAGTTCTCTATAAATTTTCTCAATATTATTATTATTATATTTAATATAGATATATGATATGCCATTGACAATCATTCCCAATGAGATAAATAATTTGATAATTGTTTCAATCAATGTTTGCGACATTTCAATGGCTAAAATAATTGTGGCAAATAATATAGCATATGTAGTAAATACTAAACCCGTAAATATAGTATTCAATGTTTTCATATCACTGTATAAACCAAATGTAATTTTTACGTAATTTAACATTTTTACAAATATTAACGTTTTATTATTAAGTTATAATATTATAATAATGTAAAGTTTATGATAAATATTTATGTTTATAGTTGTATTTTTTAACAAAACAATTATAATTGACAAAAATTATTTTTTAAATATTTATCTTTCAACATTTAAAATCAATTATGATATTTTTAACACTATTACATTGAACTCAAATAAAATTTAATATTTATAATAAATATTTAAAAATTCAAATCAAATAATTAATGTATGACACAACTGAATAATTTAATGTTTATTTAAATAATAATCATATTATATGATATAAATTACATTACATCAAACTAGTCAACTATAAAAATAAATGAACCAAATATTAGAAATAGATATAATACTTTATATAAAAGAAGTCATATAAATACATTGAATATTATTAGTAGTATCTAAAATATATAGAGTATATACTTAAAAGCAAAATATGTCATTTTATTTATTTTTTTATGATAAAAGCTTTTATGTTTAAACTTTCAATTATTTAAAACATTCAAAGATTTAATTTAATTTTCAAGTTGTTTTACTATTATAATAATTATTATTATTATAATTCTAAATAAATTATTACAAAATTTATTTAAATAAATATTTTATCTAACGATTTTTAGTATTTATTTTTAGAAAATATGTAAATATGATATATCAACCTTTTAACGGACGGATAAATTATAACAAATAATATAAACAATACATCTATCGATCAAAATGGGCATCAATTATGTCACTAATTAAGAAAATAATATTTTTTAATTTATATATGAAATAATACCGTAATAACTCAAATATATATTTAAACTATCTTATAAGCAATCATATTACCGTCTTCCCATAGTTAACTCATGTTTTTAAAATTAATACCGTATTCCCATATTAAAAATAGTTTTTTTTGAAAAAGTACCGTATTCCCATATTAAAAATAGTTTTTTTTGATAAAGTACCGTATTCCCATATTAAAAATAGTTTTTTTTGATAAAGTACCGTATTCCCATATTAAAAATAGTTTTTTTTGATAAAGTACCGTATTCCCATATTAAAAATAGTTTTTTTTGATAAAGTACCGTATTCACATATTAAAAATAGTTTTTTTGAAAAAGTACCGTATTCCCATATTAAAAATAGTTTTTTTTGATAAAGTACCGTATTCCCATATTAAAAATAGTTTTTTTTGATAAAGTACCGTATTCCCATATTAAAAATAGTTTTTTTTGATAAAGTACCGTATTCCCATATTAAAAATAGTTTTTTTTGATAAAGTACCGTATTCCCATATTAAAAATAGTTTTTTTGAAAAAGTACCGTATTCCCATATTAAAAATAGTTTTTTTTGATAAAGTACCGTATTCCCATGTTAAAAATAGTTTTTTTGAAAAAGTACCGTATTCCCATATTAAAAATAGTTTTTTTTGATAAAGTACCGTATTCCCATATTAAAAATAGTTTTTTTGAAAAAGTACCGTATTCCCATATTAAAAATAGTTTTTTTGAAAAAGTACCGTATTCCCATATTAAAAATAGTTATATGGTAAAAATTGTGAAAATCATTTAAATGTGAGGCTATACGGTAAAAATTGAGAATCATTTAAATGTGAGGTTATACGGTAAAAATTGAGAAAATCATTTAAATGTGAGGTTATACGGTAAAAATTGAGAAAATCATTTAAATGTGAGGTTATACGGTAAAAATTGTGAAAATCATTTAAATGTGAGGTTATACGGTAAAAATTGTGAAAATCATTTATATGTGAGGTTATACGGTAAAAATTGTGAAAATCATTTAATGTGAGGTCATACGGTATAATCTAATGATTTTATACAATTTTTAATTTTTGGTCATAATTTATGGACAAAAATTTTTAATTCAATGTTTTGTGGTCCGTCCGCTGAATGGGGATTAGAGAAAAATAATTTAATAAATTAATAAAACTATTTTTAAAATTTTTTAAAAATTTATTCTCTTTACTAATATTTTCTTAGATATTTAACCTGTATATAAAAAATAAAAAATTAATTAATTAATTATTAGTTTAATTATAATTAATTTTCAAACTTACCCTTTATTTCATCCACTATTGCGTTAACCAGACGTTGTCCTAATTGGGATCTAATTGTGAATTTGTGTCCAATTTTTTTACTAATTTTACATTACTTTATGAGAGGGCATATAAATAGCTCTCAAATGACCCCTTTATGACAACAATTGATTAACAAATAACATAAATATTTAATTATTTAGTTTATCCGTCCGTTAATTGGTTATCCACTGTTAGGTGGATTTATAATATATGTTTTGAATACTTTATATATAACTAATAGATATGCGCACTGTATGTTATTTCAAAAATAGATTAATAGTATTAATTTAATACAATATAATTTTTTAAATTATTGTATTAAAATATTAATATTTAGTATAAGTATCAATCAGTTGAACAGTTTAATAATAAAGTAAAATATAGTTAATTTAACTAATTAGCACTAATCCTTTTTAAATAATGAATATAAAATCTAAATATAACTAATACTACTACTATAGCAAACAATAATAACAACAACAATATAATAAAATTAATTTTCAAAAATCATTAGTTTTTAATATTAAAATCATAAGAGATTAAATTTTATATTATAATTAATCATTAATTAACAGAATTAAAGTAAAAATTTATAATAAACTATAAATTTATATAAATACTAAAACAATATTAGTTGAAATTAATGTAAATGTTTAATAATATAATATAAGTTTAATACAATTTGTATTTCTAATTTATTGAAACAAAATATTATTAATTTAAATACTATACTTTAATATGCTTAAACTTAATTAATGTTTTAAAATTTAATATAAATAATTATTAATATCATTATGTATTTATGTAATAATATTAAAACAAACATGCATTTTAAAATATTAAAAAAATAGTTTTTCAACCAAGCACATATTGTAAATTTTTTTACCAAACACTATGTAAAAGTTATATTATCAAAATCGAAAATAATTAAAGTATATATCTTTAGGTTAATCCAAACAAATTAAATTTATTATAACTTACTAATGAAAAAAATAAATTATAAAATTAAAATACTATTTTTAGTATCATTTTAATTAAATACTATATATCAATATAGATTTTATTATAGTATATTACTATAGCATTATTAATTTTTCATATTAGCACTTAAAATAAATTATTATGACAATAAATATTTACAAAATAAACACTATTATTGATAAATTATATTAAAATTTTTATATTTATTTGATATAAAATACAATAAAAATAGATTAAAATTCTAGCATTGAATTTATATTTTAAATTGAATAATAAATATAATAATATTATATATTAAAAATCATAACTATTAGAGAATTAGAAAAATTTGAATAAAAATAAAAATAATTATACAATAAATAAAATAAAAAATACTATATTTCTTTAAGTTAGATTTTTAGAATTTTATTTTAGTATACAACACAAATAATTTATATATTATTTTAACAAAAAATGGCAGTATATTGATTTGGATAAGTTTAATTCAAAATAATAAAAATTATTATTTATAAATAATATCAAAATAATAATTTATTGAATGCCTCCATTGACCGGTTTGATTGGTGATGATATCAACATAATATTGTTGTCCATATTTGTAGTAATTTTATCATTATTATTATTATCATTATCAACATCACTAACGTTGCCCACAATTTGCTTATTAGCCAATTTAGCCTGTCGCATTTTTTCGGCAAATTTATTACCTAATCTATATCCCAAACTGAAACCTGGCAACGGCTGAACCTCTCGATGATGACCTCCCTGTCCACCCCCTTTTACGCCATACACAGCTCCTTGTTTACCGTTTACCAAGTATGCCATCGATAATACAGATATACATATAATGATAATCTAATCAATTTAATTAGTATAAAAATTAAAATGATTTTTATTAATACTTACAAATGTGTGATGCATTTTTTTATTAAAATATTTTGATTTACATAAAATAATTTAATAAAAATATAAGTCAAATAAATACTAAAATACAAAATTTATTTATTGATGTTGTATGTAATGTTTAGTATTATAAAATATTAAACATTACTTTAAGCAAAACATTTGTGTAACTTTTAAAACTTCAATACTTTAGATTTTGAAACAATAATAATAATTTTATTATTAACAAAAAAAATTAATAAAAGAAAATAAATTTTATTTTTCTATATTTTATTTTTTAATAGATAAAAATATAATGATATCATAAGGCGTGAGGAAAAACCGGTCATTAAAAATAAAATGATTAAAAACTATTTGTTGAATAATAAGTATATGTTTAATATGTTTCAATAAAAGTTTATACAATATATGAATATTAAACTATCAAAATTTTATGATTTATTACTTTTTGTTTATTTTAACGTTTAATGAGATTTTATTCAAATGTAATTATCATAAATATTTATAATTACTTTATTGTATTCACATTAAATATGCTAATAATTTATGGTTAACCACTAAAAAATACAGTTAATTATTATGATTAAGTAATTATTAGTTTTATACTAATTTAATTATTAATTTTTGTTACTAAATCATAAGCATCAATGATAAAAAATTAACAATTGACACTGATAACTAATATTAATTATATTATTTAAACACTTTATTATAACCTTAAAAAATTTAAGTTTAAATCATAATTAAATAATATAACAATTTTTATTAAAATTATCAAAATAATATTTATTTAAATATTAGATTATTTATTTCATTATATAATAATTATATAAATATATAAATTATATTAATATGAAAAACTTAAGTTAAAAGTTAAAACCAAAAATTAAAAAATAATATACAAAAAATAATTCAAAATAACAATGTAACCCAATAATATAAAATAAAACAAGCATGATAAATATAAGTAAATAATATAATGATTATATAAAATAATTACTAAAATAAAGCAATAGCGTATTAAATGTGTGAACACAGTTTTTAGATAAAAAAATTAAAGTAATCATCAATTTTAATAAGAAATAAAATAGATGAGCATGATAATTTTACATTTACAAAACTAAGCTATAGATATCCAATTGATTAACTCGTAATCACTATTTTTTGCTACTCTTTTTGTCATCACTACTGTCCTCCTTCTCGAGTGCGGCTTTTTTCTTGTCCTCCATATTACCAGATCTACCGCCACCTCCTCTGCCGCCACCGCCGCCACGTTTTCTGCCACCGCCTCCTCCGCCACCGTTTTCTTCATCATCTCCCGTTCCTCCATCCAAACCAGTATTCAAACCGCGTCCAATACCTTGTCCGAGACCATAGCCAAGTCCATAGCCTACTCCGTGACCCAAACGATAGCCTAAATGATATCCATTTTCAACAATACGCGGCGGCGCTCGGGATCTATAAGGATCGTCGTACTGATCAGCGCCGGGATAGTCAAACGGTCTCTGCCGACGGCCAAACCCCCCACCATATCCACCGCCGCCATATCCTCCACCGCCATACCCACCGCCCATACCGTATGGACCCAATAAACTAGCACTAGTGTCGTCAGTACCAGACGGTCCTTCAGCAGCGTCGGCGCCTAAACTTTGACCTAAACCTGTGCTAAGACCAGTAGCCAGTCCAGTACTGGTACCCGCACCTAATCCATAGCCAAGAGCATAGTCAGATTGCGGCGATTTGACTACAGTGCTTGCAGGGTATGTGCCGGTGCCGGGAGACGCAACTACATATCTATAAGTAGTACCGGCACTCGGCACTACTGCTCGATAGACAGTTCGGGCCACTGGACGGGCTGCTGTACTGGTCGGTGATGACCCTCCATGAGTTGTCACATAAGTATAATAGCCTCCGCCTCCCGAACCGTTAGTACCCGACAGTACTACACCAATACAGTATGTGATCACCGATAATGAGATCAACTGTTTTAATAAAAGTATATAAATTGTATTTAAAAAACTAATTGAGTTTCAGTTACATTACACACTTATCATTTAAATTATTTTAATTAATTATAATATTTAATAAAGTTAGTAAACAGTTGTTTACTTAAAAAGTTGTTAAATAATTTATATAAACTACAACTATTGTTAATAAGTACTCACCAAATAATTCATTATTTTATTTTAAATAATGTAATTACAATCACTTTAAATATTATAACTATTTAACTATTTTTCATTAAATTCTAATCATTATTGTAATGAAATTCATGATAACTAACTATAGTTTACTTAATGTATGGCTATATTTATTACTGAATATACTCTACAATACTTATTAGTAAAATAAAAAGAGAGAAAGAAAATCAATTATAGTTTATGAAAGTTATTATAGAAAAATTAAAAATATTAAAAATTATTATCAAAATATATTATTATTATTATTATTATTATTAGTCATACTATTAGTAAGTTTATGTTAATAAATATTATAATTATATTGATGTGAATATAAATATAACCAATTTGTTCATAAGTTTTTTTTATAATTTTGTTTTTGTTGTTGTTTTGCATAGAAGTTTAAGGGCGTTAATACCATTTAATATTGTTAATAGTAGAAAGTGATAACCTTGATAGTATTAATATTTTAGTACAATATATATTTATAATGTTATTATTTGTTTTTTATTACCCAATTTTATCTAAACATACAATTTTTAGTAACATATTGTTTCATAGAAAAACAATGTTAATTATAAATTTTTTTTAATTACTTTTTGTTATCTTATAATATTGTAGTAGGATCTTTATGAAAATTTATGATTAGCATAAAAATTGGCAAAATATGTATTTTTTGGTTTTATATATAATTATTATTTAGTATTCAAATAATTAAATTATTCCAAAATCATTGGAGACAATATTTTCAATGACATTAAATATCAATATTATTACATATTTTATGCAAATTATTATTGTGAAACAAAAAATTGTTTTATTATAAATTATAATTATAACTGCTTTTTAAAACATTGTAAAACATTGATTAATTCTTGATACTACAAAAAAAATTGTAACTTAAAAAAAATAATATATAATTAATTATTAATTAATATTATGATGTAGCATATTTTTGTTAATGAATGCATAAATAAATTAACTATAAAATAAATATATGAATAAATTAATAACAAAAAAAACATATTATTTATTCTAACATTTAAAAAAAATACATTTTATATAATTTTACAAACAAACAAATTAATTAAATTACTGTAATTTAATAAAATGTTTTACTTAACTTTACTTTTTGTTTAAAAAATAAAAAATAAATTGTTATTTACACTAAATATTATCTGTAAATATAAAACAATTTTTGATTTATTAAACTAACCCTTTTATTAGATGAATATATTAATTGATGTTATTGTCAATAACTTATTGATGCAAAATATTTGCGTCCTTTAGTTATCATTGAAATATAAATTACTTTAAGTTTACATATATATATATTTTTTAATAATGACATTAAGTATTAATACGGAAACTTGATGTACACTATAATACTAGATTAAGTTATTGTAAATTTTGTAATTAACAGATGACATATAAAAAAAATTATGTTAACCAAAAATATAATCATGAAAAATTGTTGCAATACTGTTAATGCATAAATGCATAAATGAATGAATAATTAAATAATTAATTAATTAATTAACATAATTAATAATTATTGTAATTTGTTGTTCATATTGTAAATAATTATTAGTATAAAAATGGAAAAATTTTTGTAATCATTCATCATTAAAAAAAGTAGAGAAAAAAGGGTTATTATAACTTATATTTTCTAAACAATTAATTGAGATTTTATTGTAAATAACGACAAATTTTTTTAAAAAAAAATTATCTTTAAGTTAAATTCCATAAATCATTTTCTATTGATTTTCAATTATTTTTATTATATAAAAAATATGTTGTCATCAAAAATTATGTTAGCATTTATGCTAATTGTGGTTTTATGTCAAGTTTACGGTCAGCCTACAACTGCCGGCACCACATCCGGTGGCAACAGTATTGAGGCCAATGGTGGTGGTGGAGGCGGCGGATCGGGTGGCGGCAGTGTTAAAGTAACGGGCGCCAGTATGTTTTGACGATTTTTTTTGTTGTTGAAAAGATATCATTTATTTATTAAATTATATTTTTGCTTTAGCCGGCGGCAACATTGAGGCCAGTGGTAGTGGCAGCGGTTTCGGTGGCGGTCAAGGTTCGGCTAAAGTTTCATCAGGTACACGTTAAGCCACACTATTGAAATTAAAAAAAGTACCATACTCTAATTAAATATGTTTATTTTTTTTAATTAGCTTAAAACAATCTAAATTTTATTATAAAATTATTGCTATTGTTATTATTGTATTAACTTGTGAATAGTATTCAAAAATATATATATATTTATTGATATTTAAGTTTATAATAATATTGTTTAGTTTCACCCAGTGTAATGATAAATGATAAATAAAAATAAAAATTATCTAATAATAATAACAATTGTTTTTTTAATTTAATAGATTACAAAATATATTTTTTAAATATTCGATTAATACTAGAATAAGTTATTAAAAATTCAATTTTATCATTTATGATGCTTAATTCATACTTATACTAAATATTAATTGCAATCAATGTTGCAATCATTTTCAAAATTATATATATATATACAAACACTACTTAGGAAACATTAATATATTTATCTCTTAGGAAACATGACTTTATAGTATTTTTAATTTGATTTATAATCTATTAAAAATTAATAATGACTTAATTTGTATTATTAGCTAACACTAGTTAGTCTACTTTTATGTAATTAATTATACAGTCCAAACATAGATTAATTAATTGATTAATGACCTATGATATTGATGTTATAAAAATTGTTTTAACAATCAATTATTGAAAATAAACTGATATGTCATGTATATATATCAAGGTATTTGATATTTTTTAAAAACTATAAATACATGTAAAACTTATAGTCTTTTTTATTATACTATTTTTTTAATTCAAAATCTTTTAATAATTTATATAGTAGTCAGTCATTAGTTATAAGCAATAATAAAATCACTAATAATAATAATTTTATTGTAAATCAGTAACTAATAAATTTATTTTAAATTAAAACTACTATCCATACAATATTATGATTAAGTTATTGGTATTACTTATAGCAGTAACGGCGGCAACCGGTGCTCCTGTTGGCGATACAACGACATCAGCTGCTGATGATCCGACTACAAGTGTATCTACTGACCCAACTACTACTGCTGCTTCTGGAGATACAACTACTACTGCTTCTGGAGACACTACTACTGGTGCTTCTGGAGACACAACTACTGCTGCTTCTGGAGATACAACTACTGGTGCTTCTGGAGACACAACTACTGGTGCTTCTGGAGACACAACTACTGGTGCTTCTGGAGACACAACTACTGGTGCTTCTGGAGACACAACTACTGGTGCTTCTGGAGACACAACTACTGGTGCTTCTGGAGACACAACTACTGGTGCTTCTGGAGACACAACTACTGGTGCTTCTGGAGACACAACTACTGGTGCTTCTGGAGACACAACTACTGGTGCTTCTGGAGACACAACTACTGGTGCTTCTGGAGACACAACTACTGGTGCTTCTGGAGACACAACTACTGGTGCTTCAGGAGACACAACTACGAGCGCTTCGGGCGATAGTACAACTGCAGCCGCGTCTACTGATAATCCAACCACTGGTACTATTGATGTTGAAGCTGGAGGTCAAGGTGGAGGACAGGGAGGAGGCAGTGCTCAAATTAATTCAGACAACACTCCCGGGAAAAAATAAACTTTTAGACTATTATTAAAAATTATAAATCAATTTGATGTAAAACTATTAGAAAAATTTAGTTTAATAATTGATTGATTGTTTGCAATCAATTAAAAATTATTTAATAGTATTTTATTATTGTTGTTAAGTTATACTTATGTTTTATGAAAAATGTTAGTAATTTTAAAAATTTTGTTTTAAAAATAATTATCAATATTTGTTAAACTTATTAATAAATAGATACTGTATATTATATGTTAATAAAATGTTTTACTGTATACTATTTATGTGTTAATTATATTTTCAAAAATATCATTTATAAAATATATAAATTTAAATTTTTAAAATAATTAATCTGGTTTCAGTTTATTAATTTATAAAATATTTGACATCTATGTGTAATATTGCTATTTAATAAATAAAATACTAAAATTAATAAAGAAAATACTTAAAAATATTTTTAATTAACTAGTGAATAATATTAATTTTTTAAAAAAAATATTTAACTTTAAATAAAAATAATAAATTTTTAATAAATAAAAATTATATTTTATTTATATAAATTACTAATTATTATTATTAACATAAATTGCTACTTAAAATATTCAAATTATGCATAATTAAATATTATTTTATATTATTTAATTACCGGTAATATTTCTTTTTGAATAAACCTGGAAATTTTTTATGTTAGAAATTAATAAATAATTTATATTTTTTATATTGAATTAATTAATTAATTAATTAAAATATACTGATTTGACTTAACTATAAAATAAATATTATTGTCTGTAAGTAATTCAATTCAATTTATTCAATTTTATTTTTTTAAAAAAAAGGAAAACATAAATCAAAATTATTACAAATTATATAATAATAATATAAAAATTATTTGTGGAAAAACTAGACAAATTAATCAATATTTAAAAAACAGACATTACAAACAACAAAATCATTGTTTACTTATTTTTAAAAAATACTATATAAAAGGGTACCTTAAAAAAAACTCAAACCAACAAATAGTTTATTATTGATATTATTATTATAAATTAGATTAAGTAATATAACGATAAAAAAAAATCATAATGAAATTGTCTATAATTTTTATAAGCGTTTGCTTAATGATGGTTATATGGGACAGTCGTGTGGTTAATGGCCAAACTAGCGACTCAACTACAGCAGCCGCTAGTAGTGATACGACTACTGCGGCGGGCAGTAGTGACACGACTACAGTGGCCGGCAGTAGTGATACAACTACAGCGGCCGCCACCGCGGCCTCCAGTCAACCGATAACAACATCAGGCGGAACGGGCACTACTGCTGGATCGACTAGTGGTCAAAGTAGTGGATCGGGAGGCAGTATTCAAGCATCAGGTGGTGGAGGCGGTGGCGGATCTGGAAGAGGTTCGGTCAGCATTCAAGGCTTTCAAGGACGCAAACGAAAATGAGCATGGTCTATTTAGTCTATTTTTCGGCAATGAAAAGAAATATTTATATAAATTTAGTTTAGTTATAGTCAAATATTTAGTTTATTTTTAATTCATATTATGATTTTAATTAATTATTTTTTTATTTATTACTATTATAGACATTAAGTCATATTATATAATAGATGCATACAATGTGTTTATTATCAAATAGTTTTAAATATCTAAATTACAGTATAATTAAAAATTAGTATTACTATTATTTATTATTAGTATTTTTTATTATAGTTAAGTTATTTATAGTTACAATATATAAAAGTTAAATAATTAAAAATAATATTGTTTATTCTAATCCAATGTAATAATGCATAAAAAATAAAATTTATATAAAAAATTTTAATAATTGTTTTATCATTTAATATACTAAAGGTACAGTATATAAAAATATTATTCATTAGAATAGATTTTTTTTAAAAATTTTAAATTATTTTTAAATTTTTAAATATAAATATAAATATATATTGTACATGTTGCACTGAATTTTTAAAATAAACAAAATAAAATAATTTATATTATAGAAAATAAGACAACTTAATTTTAATAATTTTTAAAAAATTTTACTAATTTATAACTACCAAAGTTATAAACTGACAAAAGTTAACTACCAGTTATTATAGTTAACTATATATTATAATTAAACATATATATTATTTATTAATTGATAAATCACCTAGAATATAACATTGATAGAATATAATATAAGCTTATAGTTTGTCATTAATATACTTTTGTAATAATAAATTTAAAAAATTTAATACAAAAATTGACAAAAAAATATATTCAAGAATATAATAATAATCCAGTATTTGTGAAACTCGACTATCGGTGCCGTCACTGATGACAACAACTGCTGTTTTTTAACAAAACTTTTGTCGTGTCTAACGATACGATTTCAAGAGCATCTTATATCACCACAATTGCAACCCATATGTACTGTATTGAGTCTACCAGTTCAGAGATAACCAAAACTTGGTATATAATTAGTTTATTGAAAAATAATTGTCACTTTCCTTTAATTTGGAAAGTTGTCTGAATTTTTAATTTTTTAAATAATAAATTATACACAATTTTCAATTAATATTTTACATTTTATTTAATTAGTTTATAAATTTTTATTGTTGACTTTTAGTTTACTTAATATATTTAATTAATTAAACACATAATTAAGAAAAAAGTAAAATAGAATAATCTTAAAAAATGTATTTAAATTTTTTTAAAAAAATGTTATATATAAATATTTAATTATCTTATATCAAAAACTGTATATTGATTAACAAAAATTTCAAATAATTTTCAACAATTAATAATTATAATACTTATTAGTACAATAAACACATGGTTAAATTGCAAATAAAAATATTCACATTATACTAATTATTGAATATTACTGTATATTAAATATATCAGTTAATTATTATTTATTAATACCGGTATTAGGAATAAATTTGGAAAGTTTTTATAATGTTATTAATAAATAATTAATATATTATTACATTACATTAAATTATTTTATTAATTAATAAATACATTAAATTAAAGCAAAAGTATTGAATTTAAGTATAAATATTAAAATATTAGTCCATAAATATAACAACTAATTTAATCAAATAGGAAAAACATAAATCAAAATTATTACAAATTATTTACGAAAATAAAAGTTAAATGTAGAAATTTTAGCAAAAAATAAATAATTTATATATCAAATGAATTACAATTAAACAAAATCATTGTCTACTGTATTAATAAAATTCATATATAAAGGGTTATTCCAAAAACAAAACTAAAAATCAACAAATAGTTTATTATTATTACAACTATTATTAGTATAATCTAAAAAAAAAAAAATAAAATTTATACTAACAATGAAATTGTCTATAATTTTTGTTAGCGTTTGTCTAATGATGCTTATGTTGGACAGTCGTCTGGTTAACAGCCAGACAACCGGCGGCGCTGACACTGAACCGACATCAGGCGGAGGAGGAGATGCTACCACTGCTGGGAATCCGCCAAATGGTGGATCGGGAAACAGTATTGAAGCATCAGGTAGTGGTGGTGGTGGCGGATACGGTGGCGGATCAGTCAAAATTCATGGCTCTCCCGATGGTAGACGAAAGTAAGCATTGGGTTAATTTGGTCACAATTTTCTGGCAATTTTACGATAATTTGTTATTATGTTGAATTAATTTTTTGTTGTTAAATATTATTTAGTTTATTATTAATTATTTAAATTGTATTTATTTATTTAATTAGTTTATTGTTTCCTTTTAAATATATATATACCACTTGTATATAAATATTAAATATTAATATATAATAAAATATGAATTTAACTAAAATTGTACAGGTAAATTTATATTTAAAAATAATTCTTTAGCACTGTTTTTGTATTAATTATTAAAAATTATATTTATATATTCTATCATAAATATAACAACAATTTTTAATAAAATACAATATATTTTTCATAAATGCACACAAAATTGATAAGTAATAAACTGCAATATATACTGTATATATAAGTCATATTTTTATCTTATCTTAGAAATATGTCTATCAATTATACATTAATTTTTAGTTATAATTTAATTAATTGAATTTTTAAAAAAAAAATATCTGCCAGCAATTTATTTGGATGAATAACTGTCCAATTATTTCGGTTTTTTCTCGCACAACACCTCATACTCATCGATGGACACCTCTTTGCCGCCAAACGGTACATACAAAACCTTATGGCTCGGATGTACTTTACCGATGACTTTGCTGCCCGAATACTTGGACCGACCAATGTACAGGGGCTCACCGCTGGATGTATGTCCACCCTGTATGGCTCGTTTCGGTACCTTACCGTCCTCTGCATCTTTCCATTTCCATTTTCCGTGATGTACGAGCACTTCGTAGCTTTGGTGGGCCAACTCGTTGCCGCCGTAGGCCACATAACACACGCCATGCGACGGTACTATTTTGCCGGGAATTAAGTCCCCGTTTTCCCAAACCCGACCCACATACAGATCTTCATCGTTGACATCGTCGCCGCCGTGAACGGCATTTTCCGGTACGTGACCTCCCGAGTGGTTATGCCATTCAGCCATTGTATGCGTGTTTTTTGCTGTTTGTTATTTATGATGAGGACAGTCGGGTATAAAATCTATAGATAGACAGTAGAGTGGAGTTTATATTTTAAAAAAAAAAATTATTAATAGACATAAGTTTGACAGTTTGTCTAATAAAACTATAAAACTAAAGTGTTTATTGGAAAATAATACAGTATTTAAAAACAAATGTTATACATGTAGTAAAAATTTAAATATAATAATAATAATATATTTAAAAAAATATTAACCAGATAAATTAGTCGCAAAAATAGACAATAATTTTTTAAGGGTGTGTCCACTTTAAAGTATAAGCCGTGTTGCTGTTATGCCCGACTGGTTATACAGTATAATGTGTATCACAAATATATCGTAACATATATTTATATGTTGAGTGATGTTTATTGTCTATAGTCTAGACATTGCAATGAGAGATAGGTTTTAGTAAATTTCAATTGAATTGATCCAGTTTTGTGTAATATTTTACTACAGAAAAACTACATTATAAACAAAAAATTCATAAAATTAATTCAAATGTTATCTAATGTGTAATAAAAAAGTTATGTTAAACATTGATAAATACCTTTACATTGGGTTAGTTTTTTTAATATGTTGATTAATAGCTAAAATAAATGCCAATTTTGATTTCAATAATACAGTATTGTATTTACAATATACTACCAGTACATTTTACTCTATATTAATTTTTTTTCTTTGTACAATACAATATTGTCAATACTACAGTATAAACAAGTTTATATTGCGTAATGCTATGAAGTAAATTAGAGATAATAAAAATGAGGATGCGCAGTTTGAAAAAAATATATTAATTTGTAATATATGTACTATATTTGTATATAAATAATAATATCAATACTAGATATAAATGTATTTTATATTAGTAACTATAATAAATTATTAATAATAGTAAGTATTGCAAACATAGCAACTATTCAATAATAATAATAATAATAATAATTTATTTCAATAACTTTGTCGCCGACTCACACACTAGCGACATGTCTATAAAAATATTTATATTAATTTATTGATTAAAATTAATTAGTTTTTAATTTAATAACAGATAATAAGTTATTAAAGTTAAAATATAAAATATTAATTTTTATTATTTAAAATTGCTCATATTAGTTAAATAAATGTAACTAATTATTATTAGTTTATATTAAAGTTTATTGACAAGTTTATGAAATAAAAAAATAAGTTGATAAAATTAAGATTATAAATTTACATTACATTACAAAATTAACATTTGAATTACACATTTACTACTGTCAATACAATAACATAATATTTATTTTTGAAAAATCTATATATAACTAATAAAACAACTTTATATAAGAAAAACTAATTAACTAAAATTTATTTTAAAATTAATTATATAACTTAAATATTTTGCAAAATAGGTGAAACTAGTTTTATGGAAATTTTTTTTCTAGAAATGGTTAAAATTCAATAAACAAAAATTTATTTGCAAATATTAGTATACATAAAAATATAATAAAATAAAGTTATTAGGCAAAAATTAAAGATTCTATACAGTAAATCATCAGGGTTACACAATTATTTTATGACCATGATTTCTTTTATTGAAAATTCTAACCTTATTTTATATAATAAATACTATATATATATATATACTTTTTAGCAATAAATAAAATAAATTTAGTAAAGTCATGTAACCAAAAACAAAAATATCTCTTAACTATAAATCAATATTTTAAGTGAGCCAGTTGTTGATAATAAATTAACAATGTTATAAAATTAGTTAGCACTTTTTTTAGATATTGTATATAACCTAGATCAATTAGTTAACTTAGAAATAAAAAAGAATTATTAATTTTATCTAATTAGATTATTAATTAAAATTTATTAACTATAAATAAATCTATTAGTTGTAATTTATTTGTATCTGATTTTATCATTTGTTGTTAGAAAGTCATAATCAATTCTAATATAATATTTTATTAAATCAAAAGTAAATAACAATAATTTTATAAATTAATAAAATATATATTAGAAATTTTAAAAATAATAAAAAAATTGTTAATATAATTGTTTTAATTAATAAAATTTTTTAATATAAATTATTATTTATTTATTATAATTAAATAATAATTTATATTAAAAAATTTTATGTTAGTTCAATCTAGCTCAGTTATCTTAGATGGTACAATTGATTGAAATACATTGATAAAACATATATACTCTATATCACATTGTACTTATAAAATACAATAATCTTGTTTGTGGTAACAAAACCGTATGATTTTAATAGTCGACACTCACTCTGTGCTATACTTACAGCCAATTTGTTGCCGACCAACACAATCAGTTTACCATCAAATTTAATGAACTTATTTGGTTACTATAGGATCCATTGAATATTAATTAACATCAATGTTGTTGGTTGTATAGTCAAAAAATAGGAAAATAATGTTTATTGTGTGATATATGTTAAAAAATAAAAATTTTAATAGTTTAGCAATAAGTATTTATAAATTATTGCACAATATATTAAGCGAAATATGATTTCATAAAATTATTATACTAGTTTATACTGTATACAGTGAGGGGACCCTAAATTGTAACGATTTTAATTAATAATTTAAGTAATTTATGAAAATATTTTATAAATCAAATGTTTTTAATATGATAGCCCATATACTTGACAACAAGTCTGTACCGTTTTTTCAATGAAAATAATTGTTTTGAATGACTTATTAGCGTTAACTCTTCAACTCATTTTTTATAACTTTCCAGTGCCCTGATATTACTTAAAAAGCCTATATATGTAAACCATTTTATGATAATTTTTCGGGTAAATAAGTAAATATTTTATATATTTATGACAAACAAACAGTTAACTATTAAAATGAATTGATTTTAAATTTAAGCTTAACTTTAATTAATTCTAATACCATAATTGAAAACGACCATAAAATCTGAAATTTTGTTGATTTTTTACATGACAAACGCGCGGTTTAATGGATGAAACATAGATTTTAGTATTTTTTTTATTATTTTTTGTTTTAAATATCAATATACTACATATATATGCTTCACTTTTGCATACTTTTATTTAGTCAAATATTTTACAATTCTTTATTTATCATCAAATATGAAAATATCGACTGGAAAGGTATAGGATGTAGTCATCAACGTCTGATGGCTATAATATTTTCAAAAACATTTTTACACCAATAAATTATATATCATAATAAACTTAAAGCATTGCTTTACTGTTTTATAAAATAATTTTCAACATTATTTCTATAACTTTTTCAAAAATTGCTAACAAAGTCGTTTCAATTTAGGGTCCCCTCACTGTATATATCTATAAATTATATTGCAACTATTGGTGGGCTAAAAGCAAATAGTTATAACAATAGTGTTAATGACAACTTTCTTATAATAGTAAAATATTTAACATATTATAAATACAAATAAATTTTATAATAATTAAAGCATTAAATATTAACTAATAGTTTATTTTTTAAAACTATCTGTTCATTACTTTTACTATTGTTATAATTATTAGAATTTAATTTTAACTAAATTAATGTAAAAATATCAGATTATAATATTTTATTATAAAACTACGGAATAATAATAAAAATTTGTATACAATAATATTAAAAATAAAAACAACAAAATAAATAAATATTTGATTAATCTAGATCAGTTATCCTAGCAGCTACCAGTGTATTTGATACACTGGCATCATCGTACTCGCCATCACACTGTACTTCAACGATCCAATATCCCAATCCTTGTACTATATTTGTAACAAAGCCATAGGGTTTCAGTAGGCGATACTCCTCCTCAAACTGATAGGCACTCTGTGCTATACGTACAGCCAATTTGTTGCCGACCAACACAATCACTGTACCACCAAATCGAGTAAACGAATCGGCGATTTTACAATTCAATGAATATGATTTACCACCTAAGTTGACACGTTGGTTGATACGCAAATTTGAATAGTCATTTTGGGTACCCCTGTATAATCTGGATGTTATGTTTTCGCCAAAATCACGTAAATATCTACGTATATGTGGTCCGGGATGGGCAAAGTATGTTTCATATATATCCTTGTCCTGTATGGTTGACAATGATTGTACAAATTCACTAGTATTTTGTGGTGTCATCCGATAGTGTTGTACTAATTGTATACTACGCTCAGGTAGTCCAGCTTCCTGAGCAAATAGTTGAAGTTTTCTAGTTTGATCATCATCAATTTTAGTATCACTTAGATTATCATTATTTTCAACATCAACATCATTGACATTATTAGTAGTATTATCATTAGTTGCCATTTTTTTAATAATTAAATAAACTAAATGATATTAAAATGTTTATTATATGTATTAAAAATATTTATAAATAACTGCACAATTTATGCAGTAATACAATAAAATGACATAGATATTTATTATATTTTTGTTGCAGATTATAACCATAACAATTATTGTTATAATATCTATTTTGTTTATTTGAACTAATTGTAATAACTGTTATTGCAGTAAATAATTGAAACAATTACTATTTTCATAAAAGTATTGTAATTGTTTGAACATATTTTAAATAATTAACAACAAAAACTATTGTAGAAGTAATTTATAACTAATATTTTGTTTTTACTTTAAATTTTAAGAAACTCATGAAATTCATTGTTATCATAACGGAATTACATTAGAGATTAGTAAATATAAATTTTTAAAATAAGTTTAACTAAAAATAATTTTATAAAAAATATCATAAATTGTATTAAATAGAGGGGAATAGAGCTCTTAAAATATCAATATTATGTTTTTTTTAATTTCTAGATATCCATTATATACTATACATTATATATCATATAATTTATTATAGTCTGGCTTTTAAAAAAAATATTTAAGAAATAAAATAAATAAATGCTCATAGACAATTTGATAATGCTCAGAAAATAATAATAATTTTATTGAAAAATAATAATCAAATCAGAAAAATTTTAACAACAAAAAAACAATAACAAAAAGTTGTTATTTCAAGTAATTTTGTATAAATTGATTGATTGGAAAAAAATAAAGAAAAATAATTAGCAAAAAAAAATAATTAATAATATTTATAATTAGATAGAAACCAGTGAACAGTCAGTTATCCGAAAGTAAGGGCCAGTCGTTTATTTAGGGAAACACCGTTTGTCTGGACATTCTTTTTTCGGATCCTTACATGTCTTTCCAAAGCAACATTGGGCACAGATTTTGTGCTCACAATCAAAACACTGGGTATTTTCGGGATCGCAATCGGGTTTATCCTTACAACACGGGGGACAGTGATGACGAAACTCGAGGTCAACTCCATCAACGAACGACTGCTGTAGTCCGACCATCAATACGACAACCAATAGACCAACAATTAATGCAACGTTTTTCATGATTGATAACTTAAGAGTTAACTAATTTATCAATTTATGTAAATCTGAAATAAAATTGTTTTAGAAAAATGTTTTAGTTTTCTAATTGATTGATTTAAACTAAATTGGATTCTGCTTATATACTTTTAAATAAAAATTGCTTACTAATTATAAAAACACTGTATTGACTTGCTTATTCAAAAAAATTGAATTTTAGTAAATAAAATTTTCTAGATAAATATGATTTTATAAAATTCAATTCAATTGAAAACATATTACCTAATTGATTAAGTTTAAATTTGAAAAATATAAGTATAACAAAATTATTTTTTAATATTTTAAATTAAACTTTACAATTGAAAACGTTTAAAAAATGTAAATTAATTTCTGTATTATAATAATTTATATATTTAACCTATATGATTCTATTTTTGAAACAATTATTTGTAGTCTATTTTATTATTAATTAGTTGATGTTTTTAGACTAATTATTTATTATATTACTTATATATTAATTTTATATTATTAATTATTTAAAAAAATTATTCTGTTATTTTAAATGATTTTACATTTACATGATTTACATTAAAAGCTATTTTATTTTTTTATAATTATATCTGTTTATAATTGTTTACTTAAAAAGTAGATGTAATTTAATGTCTATTTAATAAATTTATTTAATAATATTTTTCTGTAGTCAATTACTTGCATATTATTTTTTTATTGTTTGCTTTAAAAACTTTCTAGTTAATAATATAATTGTGTAATAGAAAAATTAATTTCAAAAAACATGTAAAGCAATATATTTTATTTGAACAGATTTATGTAAAATATTAAATATTGTATAAGAATTTATTTCCTAATGTAATAAAATAATGATAATTATTATTATCATATTTTAATTATATAATAGATAGTAAATTTAACATTTTAATTATGTTATATTATATTATTAGTAGTAAACAATAATTTATTTAAAATTCTATAAATTGTATAATGTTGAAACTAAAATTGATAAATACTAGATTTTTATAGTAACAAAATGTAGATTTTTATTTAACATATAATGTTTAGTAAAATTTAATTTTATTTATAATTTAGCGGTAAAATAATAATAATAATAGAAAACAAATAGTTATTATGATATATAAACATTTTTATTTTTTCAATACTTATTTTTTAATATAAAAAATTGATAATAAATAAATTTGTTTTTTATAAAAAAAATACAATAGTATAGTCAAAGTAAATTTTTACAAAAAAAAATCCTATTATATAAATAATTATAAAATAGTTGCAGAAAAAAAGGTTTATTCATTTCACTTTACACACACTCGCGCAGTGGTATATCTGTGCCATTGGTGGCGGTAGCTATGAATTGTGGGGAACACTTGTACTCAGACAGGTCTTTGTATTTCAATTTGGTTTGTCGTATAACATACAGTATGAAGAAATACATAACAATACCGACCGATACGTTCATTATGATACCGACGGGAAAGACAAACGGATACTTTTCAAGATATGTACCCAAAATAAATGGCACAATAATGTTGAGACATGCATGAGCAAATATTAGTACAGTTCCGATACGATTGGTTATCTCCAGGTGCTGACCAATGAAGGCAAACACTGCTGGAAATATTGGCGAAAAGCCGAACGACAGCATCAATGAGCCGATCCATAGCTGTATGAGGCTGTGCTGAACGGTCAGTAAGGTTATGATGGCGGCAATGATTATGAGAAAATGATAGGCAATGATAATGTGAAGTTTGACTTTGAAGGCAACAAATATGTTAATACCGCGTCCAATGGTATAGGACAGTGACATTGCCGAAAATATTTCGGCCGCTTTGCTGGCACTGAGCCGTATGGGTATGTACTGGAAATAAGTGGCACCGAACTCAAGGTATATGACCTCAGAGATACTGTAGAAAGCCAGAAATATGCATGTTATAATTATGATAAGCAACTTGGGTGCACCCTCCCGATCAAACAGTTTCAATTTCGACTTGTCCTCGATCTCTTTAGCCTTAATCGGTACGTACCGATACTTTTTGACCAAAAACATTATTAACATTAAACACGGACCTGCAATATATGTAATAAAAAATATATGAGATTAATATTATATGTTAAATATATATAAAAAAATTAAAAATATAATTTTATAAACTTATTGTAAATATTAAATTATATAATTAGTAGTTATTCTATTATAAAACTCATTAAAAATTAGATATTTTAAAAATTATTATTAGGCTAAATAAATATTTATTATTTAAATGACAATATTGTAAAAATAATAGTAACAATAATAATAACAACTATTTTAATTACATGTTAGTTATAAACTATAAGTTATGAATAATTTTAATTAAATTGTAGTAAATGTTAACACAATTTAATGAAAAAATTATTTAAAAGACTTTATACATAAATCTATTAACTGTATTATAGTTTATATGACATTACATACCAATCAAATGCAAACATCCGCTGATAAGGAACGGTGTTTTCAGGAGTCGTTTCCTTTCTTCGCTATCATCATAGACTGCACCGGTTTTATTGAACACATTCATTGATGTCACATTGAAACCTAAATCACTATCGATACTAGTAGTACCACCACCACCACCACCGTGACCACCAAAATGTCCACCACTACCACCGCCATCACCGTTCAAATGGTGAATCTCTCCCAACAAATAGGATCTGTCAATCAATGGACCCAAAATAGTACCAATGCCATAGGTAAACTGGGACAGTTGCATTATGGGTCCTGATTGTTTTTGCCACATTTCGATAAGCCATACATTGTTGGTACTATTCCAGGTACCGGCACACATACCGATTAGTACAAAATACATGTATAGTTGCCATAAATGCTCGGAATATGGTATGAATATGACAGTCAATCCCATGATAATTAACAATATGATTAATGTTAACTGACGGTTTATATATTTGTATAAAAAACCAACTGTCCAAAAAAAATAAAGAGATTAAATATAGTTAATTAATAATTAATAAAATGATATAAATTTATGTATTTATTAAATTAATAATTTAAAAAATTAGACATTACTTAATGAGCCCATAATATAGCCGAAACACATGAATGTTGAGATTAATGCAATCATATTTAGGGATGTATTCAATGCATACTTCAAATCGACAAAAGCCGGAAAAAATGTTGAATTGCATATACCCTATAAAAAATAATTAGGAATAAAATTATTATTTAGACAAAAACTATCTAGGTAAATTTGTTATTTAAACAAATATATCTAAATAGCTATTATTATTAGTTACTTACATATGTGATCATGGTAAAACACATAACTGATGTGTATGCATATTTTTCCCATTCAGTAAATTGATTTTGACAGTTACCATTATTAGCAGCACCGGTACCATTATTAGCCTGCTGCTTTTTCAATGTTGCCGGATCACCATTAGACTTATTAATTGTCATTTTTGACTATTTATTATTATTATTATTTAATTAACAAAACAATTTTTTAAAAAATAATAATACAATTACTAACACTCACACACTATAATAAATTATTTTTTTTTTGAAAAAATAAGATACTAATAATTAAAGAAAACTTAGTTGTTATTAAATAGACTCTTAATAAGAGTTTTTAAGTTAACTAATAACTAATGAAAAGTTTTTAAGGGAAAACCCATTAAAATATGTTTGTTTTAATTTATAAGTTTGTTGTTTGACATCACTTACTGATCACAACAGTTAAACTTTGACTGACTGATAGATTGCTACAAATTTTCACTTTATTTTATAGTTTATATTTATTGTAAATACTTGTTGTAATCGTTACTAAATACAGTATATATGGTTCCGGTATAAAAAACTGTTTTTTGGGACTGGCCTATCATTGGTCGGTTAGGTTTTTTTTATAGATATATCTCTGATCACATGTACATAAACATACAGCGCCGGTATGTCTGGTGTGTTTCAAAATTAATTTAAAATTATATATTAATAAGTGTGTAATAGAGAAGAGAGAGAGAGAGAGAGAGAGATTTATATTTTGTAAATATTTCCATTAAAACTAATAAATATTATAACATTATAATATTGAAATTATTGTAACACTTTTATGTAGATGTAATTCATAATTTTTTTATTAAATATCTGTTTAAAATAACATTAAATAAAAATGGAAATTACATAAAAACATCAATGAATTTTTATTTATAGTTAAAATAATGCAAAATAATCTCATATATCAAAAGTTTATCTAATATTATAATATTTATAAAATAAAATAAAAATGAATTAAATGTGTATTTAATAAATTGTGTCATATGTTTAAAAACAAAGACAACATTAATCAATATTCAATATTTTTTGTAAATATTTGTAATAATATTTAATTTATTAATTTAATAAAAATAATAAATTATATTGTTTATTCATACAGTTATATTAGATATAGCAATATACTGTATTAATTATATTAATAATATGTGTATTTTTTTAATTTTTTATAAGCTATATTTAACTTAATGTTAATATAGTGCATATTATACACAAAATAAAAATAATATTTTTAATTAGAAAAATATTATTTTTATTTATTTATATGACTTTAACCTTAACGTGATTAAAACTAATTTACAATTACTTAGACTTTCATTAAACTGATACATATCTATTGTTTTTCATATAATATCAATTGTTGATTATTTATTTATTAATCAATAATTTCTAACATTTTTTATATTTGTATGTTTATAATAAAAGTAATATATTATTTATTGTTAACTATTCACTATTATTATTACTTTTAACTTTTTAAAAAAATATTTTATTGTATAATAATTTATTATAGAAACTTTAATAATTTCTTAAAGTGTTTATTAATAATAAAAATAACATTGAATTTTTATTAGAAAATTTACTATTTTTAGCTTAATAATATTTGATAACTAAAATATACTTAAAATTTAAATTAATAATCAAATAATAAGGTTATGCAATGTTAAGGTTATGTAATACATAACAAACTTTTTTTGACTGCACGTGAACTTACACTTAAAATAAATGTTTATTTAGTTTTTTAAAACAAAATCTACAATATTAGTAGAGAGAGAGAGAGAGAGAGAGAGAGAGAGAGAGAGAGAGAGAGAGAGAGCCTTATAAAAGCTCAGTTAGCCTATGGGAAAGGTGTCCAAAATAGCCGGCAAAAATCGGTTAGAATCGGTGTGAAACCGGGCTCTTAGTTTATGTATGAGAGGTTGTCATTAAAAAAATTGTTGTCAAACATCATTATTTATATTTATATATATATATTGATATTTATATAATATACATACATAAGCTATATGTTTGTACTGTACATATGATATGATTTTTATTTTTGAATCAGTGGCTCATATATACTATATGTTTTGGTTAGTGAGCTCCGGATCAGCACTGGTATGATATGTTTAGAGTGTATCGGTTTGAACCGCTCTCTAAACATAAAATTGTTATTATTATTATCAATTGAATTTAGTTTTTATATATAGTTTTTTTTAAAAATGACAAATTTTTATGACATGTGAATAAAAACCAAATCAAACAAAACAAACCATAATTTTTATATAAAATACATCATTCAATTAATTATTAAATATCTGTATTTTAGTAAATCAAAACTTTAATAACAATAATAATAATAACATCAACAATACGATTAATAAAAAAAATATACAAAATAACAGTTCAAAGACTTTTAAATTAAATACAATACACTACTATAGTGTTTCATAACATAAACACATAATTGATTAAATAAAAATTATAGTAAACTGTTTACTAATACAATATTTGATAAAATATTATTGAATAAATTGTATATTTAATTTATGAACACTAATCACTAATACAATATATTTAGTGTAATTAAGTGCTAAATTTAGTATTTAATAAAAATAATAATGATTTAAAATAAATATTAATAAAGTATTATCTTAATTACTTTTAAACAGTTTTAAATAACTCAATATTGTTTAGAGAGTCAATGTTTGTTTCAAATATATATTAATTTAGATATTATATGACATATTATAATAATTTATTTTTTATAATATAATATTAAATTGATAATACAATTTTTTTACAATTATTGAGCAATAAATTTATTTACATAAAAATATAAATTTGTTTAAAATTGTAGGTTTTTGGGTAATTTTGTGGAAATTCCCATTTTATAAATAATTATTGATATACTGTATGTTTGCTTTTGTTATTATCTAATCAAATTTAAATGTAAAATTATTACAGTATAAATTAAATAAAATAATTATGTTAGTGTTAATGCAAAGCATCTTATAAATTTATATTAAAATAATATAAAGTATATGCATGCACTATAAATGTTTTATTAAGTTAAAATTATAAAAATATTATACAATAATGCAAGGTTATTATTTTTATTTATAAATACAGTATTCATTACTATAATATGCATAATTAAAAATTATATTGCTATGCTGATTTTTAATTATCAATAATATTATATTTTTGTAAAAATAATTTTATTATAATTATTTTTAGTTTTAAATATTAATATTCTGTATATAAAGTCATTCAAATAAAACATTTATAACTAACAAATAATTTTTAATCATTAGTAAAAATCTAAAGTCAGTGTACATTAAAAGTAAATAAAATGATTTCTATTCATATACAGTACTTTTATTAATATTAAGTATATATACAATATATTCATATTAATTACAATTTTTATTTAAAAATACAAACACATGTTGTTTATCAAAGCTAACGTCAAATAAAGACAAACAGTCTAATAGTTTTTAGTTGATTTACTTGAAGTGAATTAATAAAATTGATAAATACTATGATATAATATATAAATTAGTTTCATTTCCTTTAGAATTGATAACATTTTTTTATTATTTTTCAAATTTATATATATTATATAAAATATAATTTCATCAAACACACGTGTCAAGGACAATTTTTTAAATAATATTATTTTCTTGATATAATTAACAAATTATAGTTATAATATTTTAATTTTGTTAACATATATGATATGATATGATATGATATATATACATAAGCAATACGTTATTTTTAAAAATACATATAAATACTGTACTAAAACTAAATAAAATTTTACTTAATAATTTATAATTTAATAATAAAAGATAAGAATCATTTAAAAAAATAATAATAAATAAAATATTTTATAATTTAATAAACAAATTAATATCAATTTACGACTGAAATTGATAAATGTTGTTCCGGATAAACAATATTTATAATTATCTATTTTTTGATTACAATATATATATTTATTTATTTAGATTTTGAGATAACAAATAATATAAATTTGGGACTTTCATACTAAAGTTAGTAAACATATTATTACATTAAATAATGACAATTTGAATAAAAATTTCCAAAATATCTAATAATTAGTTTAGAAAATATTTCCGAACCAAAAATAATATATATGATTACTAACTAATAAGTTAGAAATTTTCTATAATTTTTGTATTTATTAATTCACATAAACTGATAATTTATAAACAATATTTAAAAAAATATTTAAATATTTAATAATCATAAATATGAGTTTTTATAAAATAATTTAGACATTATATAAACAAACAAAAATATTTAAATACTATTTATCAATCAAAACATTAAATACTGATTGTTGATGTATTGAATTAACAATAAGATTCATAATTAGCACATAATTATAGGCCCAACCGCACATATATTTATAAAATTGATAATTATTCATTGGATATAATTTATAACAGTAGAAACCAATGTCTGGACCGGTAGATATTTTTTCCAGGAAAGCATAAATTTTCAGTCTATTGTCCAATGATAGGAACGACCATTTGAATGACTGGAACAGTAGTTTATAGGAACGATGGGCAGCGCTGGTGATCGAAGCGCACAATAGATTGACCGCAAATATGGCAAACATACAGGCAAACAGTATGACAGCTACAGCAAAACGGGTATACAATAGTGTGTCGGGTGCGTGACTAACATAGAGCAATATGTTGAGTGCCGGTTGGGCCCCGATATACATGATTAGTATGAAATAGTTAAGCGATTGGTTTAGACTAGACGTATGTCGGCAACAATTGTTGTGCAGAAGGAAAGCCCTATTGAGTAGCCGATTGTCTTGAATTTTCAGTGACAGTACTATCAAGTCGTTGATCTGTTGGAACTGGTATTTGAGAAAAGTTAGCGATAGAAACCAAAAACGAAACATTGACAGTACAACTGAGTAAAAGTCAAATATGGCTATCATTGACACCACTGTCCACGGAATGATACTCCACATTGAATATTCTGTATTCACGGGATCATCTATATATGCCAATAGGGGTGGCCCACAAAACAGTATACACGAGTTGGTCCAGAACTGTGCGAGCATTGGCCACGAAACGTGTTTTGTGATTAGCGCCATTTGTTTGTTAAATTTGTGTCTATATTTGTCTCTTAACATATTATGTTTATCTAATTGACCATGGCGGATTTTGTACAAATAGTCTATTACGGTAAACTTGCCGTTCAGATCATAATATTGTATACCAGTGTTTAGCAATACACCGACCAGATGTCCCAGTGCTAGTACACTAGATATCAGTGTACTGTTACCCATAATATGATTGGCATTACTGGTAGCCATTCGTACGTATGGAGTGTCCCATTGGATGGCAATAAAGTAGCGGACAATAAAAGATATTGCGGCCATTTTTAT